GAGAGGGAGATTTCAGAATTTTTATTTGAAAAAAAAAAAAAATCTAATCTGTGCTTTATACTTATTATGAGCATCACTATTGGCTTAGCAACATGCTAATACAACAAAAATAAACTGTGGCCTATGTAGCTCACTAGGCTTTGGAACCAGGCTACAGAGAGTGGAAATGAGTGAACAACATCTTTTTTCAGTTTTATTCAGTTTATTTCTGTAACTGCATGTCATTATTCATAATTCAAAACTCCCTGTTGATGCATTCAAAAACAATACAGTATCTTCACACATATCAAGAGCAACAATTAAAAACCTGTACATCTGTGTTCAAGGTGTCCCCTCATGGACTGCTATTTACACACTCCGCATCTTCCCTGCAAAGGACGCCAGTTTTATTCAGTTTATTTCTGTAACTGCATGTCATTATTCATAATTCAAAACTCCCTGTTGATGCATTCAAAAACAATACAGTATCTTCATACATATCAAGAGCAACAATTAAAAACCTGTACATCTGTGTTCAAGGTGTCCCCTCACGGACTGCTATTTACACACTCAGCATCTTCCCTGCAAAGGACGCCACTAAAATAACGGCTACTCGAGGTCTCGCTTCAGACCCGGCAGGTAAAAATCTGCAACACACTGCTGCCTGCTTCCTCATTCTCTATACTTGAGAGTCCGGTCTATGCTAAGTCAAAATGAAGGAGAGGACGCTTATGCTATAAAGGAAGTACAACCTTTATTCAGGAGCTGACAGAATGATTTTTTTCTAGCCCCATCTGAACACTTGAAACAGTTTTAACTGCTTTCCACTGGCTTGTAAGTGGTGACCTCCGTATGCACTGAATGGGGGAAAGCGAAACAGTGACTGCAGCCAGCCAGTTGGAGGATCAGCACCAATGGAGAAAAAGAGATCGCAAGAATTCAGACCGGGCGGCTGCCTTCCTTTATACGACAGAATGTCCTCTGCTTTCATTATCGTGGGCCGAGCTGTCTGGCACACAGGGGTGTGAAAAGCATTGAGAAATTACACTGAAGTATGGCTACGGTGTCAAAGGTTTACAGTATCTAGTCAAAAACTTTCTCAAGTTAAAGTACAAAAGTTTGCACATTGTAAACTTCTTAGTTTTAGAAATAGACGAGACATGAAAGCGAGATGAAATCACAAGACACTGGAGATTTCTTAATTTAAGTAAGTTTGTTGTACAAACTACAATCTAGAATTGAAAACTTGTTAGAATAAAAAACAACAACTTTAAAACCATTCTGAAATTGTGAAATTGTATCATTAAATTAATTGTTAAAAAGCCTAATCTGATGATATAGTTGTTTGACACATGAGTATAATTGTTTATAGCAGTGTTGTTTTGGAATTATTCATTATTATATAGTTTATATTTGTTTTAGTAACTTTAGTACTTAAATGTATTTTATTTTGGTTAGTTGCCAAGGCAACATTTCAATTTTAATTTTGTTTCAAGTGTAAATAATTCATCTAATTTTTATATTTTATTTTATCTCAGTTATTATTATTATTATTAATTATTTCAATTAATGAAAACATTTGAAATAATTTTAGTTAACAACAACAACACTGGTTTATAAACTGATCACCAACTGTTTTCTCAGTCATATTAGTCTTCAACAATGCATATAATATAAATAAGACCATAATTATGGCCAAATACATTTTACATGACATATTTCAACTTTCAGGTTTTCGTCATGCATGGTGGCCAGGGAAATATGCACTTTTTTAAAGATATAAATTAAATTTTACAAAGTAATAAAAAAAATTGATTTTTTAAAATGTAATTTTGTAAATTTTCAATTTCAAATAATAATTCTAGTAATGAAGTACAATCACTCAAGCACTTTACACCCCTGCTGCCTTCTATCCTATATTTCTAGAATATAGATATAAAAACATCTTCTTTTCTTTCCTCTTTACAAATAAAAGTGTTCTTGTACTGTACAATGGCTGACTCCTTACAAGGCCAATATAGCAAATTCAAGTTGAAAATTCAAAGCCGAAACACTCTGTTTGTGATTTGACATTTTAAAAGCGTCAAACGCCCATCTGGATTTCTCTCGGTAGAGGGAAAGAGTATGACATCATTGATTAGCATTTAAATGGCACATTTGCACTGATAGGAACCTTGCAGACATTATTATACAAAAACATTGCATCACTGCATTCATATATTGGTTGGCTCAGAGTATGGATCGTCCTGGAGACTACATCTCTGACTACTGAACACCTAAGTGTCTAAACTGTCTCCAGTACAAGGAAGCCATATGGAGTGGGACAAATGTTCGGTGGGCATGCTAATTCTTACTTTTGAGGACTACATACTTGTGGTCTTTGTGTCTCTAAATCTCGATTTTAATATGTTGTTGAAGACGCCATGAAGAGGAATATAAAAGAGGCCCACAGTGTGCAAAACCCACAGTGGGCACTAGGGGGCAATCAAACTGTCAGATCAGATTCCACAATTTGAATAATTTGAAACTGGCAACTATAAAACATTGCAATTGGCCTCCTGGGCTGTGGAATACAGTATCATGCCATGGGGACATTTAATTTCATTGTAAGGGCCAGTGCTATTAAAACTAGTATACTCACTACAGACATGCAAGATTGAATTATAAGAATCATTTTATATATCAAGCTTCTCGTCAAGCCAGTGGGCACCTCGGTTTAAAATGCTGCACATGTCTCAAGATAACTCGACAGTGCTGTGTATTTCTGATATGCGAGACATTGGGGGAATCGAGAATACAAATAATAATAATAAAAAAAGTCCAGGGTCTATAATTATGTACAATAAGCTTGTTTTCTCATAAGATCTGCTACAGTAAGGGAAATGCTACAATTTGAATGTTTTGGGAAAAAACAACAACTAAATCTTCCCCCTCACAAAAATAAAGCCAAACTAAACATTTACAAGGCTCATCCCAGTTTCTGTACAGTACGTGCTGATGCCAATGGGATAATCAGGTACAAAGTCAACATCAATACCCAGGCTGGTTGAGGATTCTGAGAGCAGTGAACTTCAGATGACCCCTCAGATGTACAGCTGAACGCTGTGTAATACTCGTGTATAAGCCCTGATTTAAAGTGTTAACACTTAAGATCGATCGAATTGCAAATTGCTAAATGCTTACAGGTATGGCAACAGAACTTGTGTGTGATCTTTTAAGTAAGCATTTATTGATATGTTACAGCACAGTAAAAGACCACCAGTGATAAATTAAAACACAATGCATTCTATTTTTAAAATCTGTCTTTAGAATATTTAAATTCAAATCTACTCAAAATATTATATCATTTTTAAAAATCAAAATTATGTATATAGGGATGCATTTTATTCAAATTAATTTATCACAGATGATTTTACTGTGCATATTTCTATTACTCAGCTTTCCGATTAGCTTGCTAGAGCTTTGCTTGGTATGACACAGAACAGAAAGAGATAGCACTTATTGCTCAGACAGTTCTGAGGTAAAGATCAATGCATAAGCTGGCGGTACAGCATGTCTGATTATCACCGGATCTCCTTTAAATTTTCGGTTTCGATTCACCAACCTGCCTGTGTATTTTAACAGTACACAAAATTACGAATCTCATATCTTAGGTAGAAAAATCCTACCGCAATTTTTGATCAGTAAGTCTTACAAAATGCATAGAAGACCTGTATCAAAATGCCCTTTTTCTTCATGTTTTTTTTTTATTTTTGTTTCCTGAAATGAAGATTCCGCATGATGCTCGATGCTGATTGGTGGAGGGCTTGGGATGAGGACCGATCAGGCCTTCGTTTTTGCGATTTTTCAGAAATGTTGAGGGCAATGAAATGGGTCTGAAATATTGAAAAGCATACAAACGCAAAAAAGTATCACAATGGGGGAAAAAAATCTAAACTTTGGGTCCTGATTTTCAGCTTGAGGGAAGTCTATGTCTCCTATAAAGGAATATCGCATGAGGCACTTGTAATGGCTCTCTTTCACTTTGACTCACTTGGCTGAAGTTTCGCAGAGCGTGTGCAGAATATTTTCCCCAACTCGTGAACCAAGTCTTGCAAAGATATAGATGTTAAAGAGGCAGAACAGTATTGTGTTGCACACTTTCTACTAGGCTACGTCTTATGTTCTTTTACTTGTATTTGTTTCTCTTTTTTGGTAAACACTGGCTAAAGAAGCAGAAGGCACCTGGAGAGGTTTGATACGGCTCACTGGCCTTATAATAAAACTTTAGTTCTGTTATCTTCCTTCCCCCCCTCTTTCAACAGCAAGACCACCGCGCACACAGCAGGGAAGGGGTTACAGTCCAGTCACAAACAGCAAGCAGCTAATAAAATATCTTTAATCACTTAGTCCTGCTCCTGAAGATCTGTTTTCAATCTAGTTTACTTTCAGAAATGTAGCTCTTCAGGGGCACGACTGAGCAACCGTGTCTTAAATAAATCTTCCTTTTTATAATATAATTTTTGTTGCATTCTTACGAAAATAAATGGAAAATATGCTAAATAAAAATGTCAATGATATGAAAAAAGACATGCTATGATGAAGGACATCATGAATCATAGACGCATACTAACTGACCTTGCAGTTACTATCATGCTAGCCACATCATAATGGCAGCATTTGATCATTTTCTCTCCTTGGCCACTGGATGGCGATAAAATCAAGGATTGATTGGCCAGAGAGCGGTATCTGGATGATACCAATACCACAACTCTAGTACTATATAGATATGGATTTGAGACGGAAGAGAAACTGATGGGGTGGTGGTGGTGTGCTGAAAACCACATATATAGAGACAGCTGGAGAGGCTGGATGAGAGAGACCGTGTGTGTGTGTGTGTGTGTGTGTGTGAGAGAGAGAGAGAGAGAGTGAAAGAGACAGAAGAGAAGAGAAAGTTAAAGAGATAGTTTACCCCCCAAAAAAGTAAAAAATTTTTCCATCATTTAGTAACACTCAAGTCGTTCCAAACCTGTATGACTATTTTCTTCCATGAAACACAAAAGGAGAAATTTTGAAGACAAGCTTCAAAAAGGACGCAAAAGCAGGATCATCAAAGTGAATATGAATCATAAAAGTGGTTCATTTGAATTGAGAACTAAATTACATTAAATGTTACATTAAAAAGTCAATATGACACGTGATAGAACAGACTGAGATCTCAGTTGTTAGGGATAGTCCACTCAAAAATGAAAATTGTCATCATTTACTCACCCTTATGTCATTCCAAACCTGGATACATTTCTTTCTTCGGCTTGTAACCAAACAGTTTCGGGTCCTATTCCCTTTTGTAGAAATTGTTGTTTATACAATGTAAGTAAAGAAAGTCAGATTTGGAATGACATGGGGGTGTGGGCTATCCTATGGACTATCCTAAGGTGCATTCACATAATCACATTAGTGAAAATTTTGCATGCAAAAAAGGTCTACTGTACATTTCAAAGGTGTACCTTTGTATGAAACACAGCTCACACAAAATTCACGTTCAAACCAAGCAGGTTTCTGTTGGTCAGTGCTACAAATTTGCATGACCAACTGAAGTCAATGCAAAATACACATAGGGAAATATTTCAGCCTCCCATTCAATTACAGATGGCGTGGATTCCTATTAAAATGACTGGATTTCAACAGTGAAAATTCACTGAACAGTGGTGAATAGGACAGCACCTTTATTCACTGAAATCTGCTCTAGCTCTCTTTGCAATGTTCATGACAGAAGAAGCAAAGATTCATAAATCATTCATTTTTTTAATCAGTTGACTAGATTTACAAAAATTTAATTGGCCTGAACCAGCTTGTGTGTTTCTCACAAACAGCTATAATATGACTTCACAAGACTTGGAGTATAGTATAGAAGTCATATGAAACATTTTTGGTGCTTCAGTACCCATTCATTCACGTGAAAATGTGCAACTAGCACAATTAAGTAAATTCCTATAAATAGTCATACTGAATTGGAACGTCATGAGGTTAAGTTTTTAGGTGAACTATCCCTTTAAGGAAATAGCATTAGGACCACAGTTCTCCCTTATTCTGGCTCAGCCTTTTCCCCTCTAAAACCTGAGAGAGTTTGTGAGGGCTAGGGACTAGCCAGGGTCCCGGGGCTGTTGTCGGAGATCCAGGAGCCTGTAGAGGGCTGATGGCATCCAGGGGCCACTGAGTCCCCGAGAATGTGATGCTGGCTGCAGGCACACTGACTTCAGAGAAGCTGTGAGCCGATTCTGCATCATCGTCATTGTCCAAAGGCATGAGGAAGGAGAAAGGTGTGCGCTGTGTGACCTCCGTTGTGCTGGTTCTGTTGTGATCCCTCTTTTCTCTTCTGACACTCCCTCTCTCGTTCTCTTGGTCTGTTAGGAGGCCGTTCTCTCTCTCTGAACTAGTATCCTTCACTTTTTGTCTTCTCTCTCCAACGGTATTACTTTTTTGCCTTCCCCGTCGTCGTTCCTCTTCTCCCTTCCTTTCTCCCCGTGTGTCATCCTCTTTCTCTTCTCTCCGTGGCCCATCTCGGCTCCTCAGCATACCAGGTAAACTCCGTGAACGCATCTGTTGCTCTCTCCTTCTTCCTGCCGACCGGGAGCTGCCTTCCTCCGCTCCTCTTCCTCTGCTCCTTCCCCCTGATTCCCTCCTTTCCTTCCCCCTCCTCTCTCTCATCTCTCGTCCACTGTCATCCACCCATCTGCTGCTCCTCGAAGGAGAGCGATCCAAACGCGGCTCCTCGGAAAAGAGGGAGGGGGAATCGGCTCCAGCTTTATGGTCTGAGAAGGAGAGAGAGAGTTGAATAATAAAACATTATCTACAAAAAAACTACAAAAGAAGGTGTCGGATAAGGGTTGGATGATGGAGAAGTGGGGGGATGAATGATAGCACAAGCATGTGATGCACCAATGACTGTTCTGAGATCAGTAAGGGGTTATTCCCTGCAATCTCAGCCTGAGTAAAGGTCTGTGATGGAGACAATGGGAGAGAAATGTGTCTGAATGCTTGAGTAAACTACACTGTTGGTAAAACAATGGCATTAGAGTGTTGTTGCATTAAAAAAAACCTGATTATTATGGTAGGGAATTCCTGGTACCTGTTCTTTATGGTTATTTTGGACCTAAAGTACATCTCAAATCAATATTTGGAAGACTTTAGGAATCTCTGCAATGATAGTTCTTTATCAAAGGCTATAATTTAACAGAAAAATGGGCAGCAGTTACAACAAAAGCATCATGCCCATTCAAACGGAAAAGAAAACAGCAGATTTATTTAAGAGAATATTACACTAAAAATCTGTTGTGAATTTTGTTTAGTGAATTGTCACACTTTACTTTAAAGTCCAATTCTCGCTATTAAACCATTATGTCACAGTGTTTAGTTGTTGTGTCCTAGACCGTCCACTTGATGGCACTCTCCACTTCCACTGTTACATGCTATGAACTCAATTACCCATAGTCCTTTGCCCAGTCTTCTCTGTACTAATTATCATCAGCTGTAGGTCATTTACTCATTAGCTAATCACTATTTATACCATGCTCACGTTGTCTTTTGTTGCTGCAGTATTGGACCTGTTACGTTGTGTTTCTGTTACCCTGTCCTTGGATTACTTTTTGCCTATGTTTTTGCCTGTTGCTTTGTTTTGGATTATTGTTTGATACCACTATTAAAACTGCACTTGGATCTATTTTGTTCTCCCAGAGTCATTCCGTGACAGAATACTGCAGCCAGTTCTAGATCCAGCAGTGTTGTTTAGTTTTTTTTCCCCCTTCATTGGAACTATGGACCTTTGGATTACCCCTGCTGCCACAAGGAAGGAGCGAATGGCTCGACACCGGGCTCTTATGGCTTTGTGTCAGTAGGGCATGGAGGTAGGAGGCTTTGCCCAAACCTTCTGGACCTTAAGTCTGCTCCTGAGGTCCCGAGTCTGGTGTTCCTGGAGGACCTGACTCCTGTGGTCTCAAGTCCGGTGGTCCTGGAGGACCCGACTCTGGTGGTCTCAGAAGTCGCTACAGAGCTGCCCAATTTAACTGCTGCAGCCGTAATCAACAAGGCCGACTTTGCCTTTAACCTCTGGGCTGTTCTACGGGCATGGGCCGTTTTCGAGTTCACTCCAGAGCCCACTGCAGTCCTGGGCTGCGTTCCAGTCCGTTTTTTTTATGCCCTTCACTCGCAAACTTCCCTCCGTCTTGTTTACTCGGATGTACATCATTGATTACGTTGCATGAGTGCCCACTTCTGGTGGAACCCTTGGAATGGGCTGAACTGGAATGTCCTAAGCCCTTGATCGCTTAGAATCAGCTATGGAGTTGGTTTATTTAAATTTTTTTTTCCCTTATGAATTTGTTTGGTGCAGCATTCTATATGTATATAGGTATGTTTGGGCTGTTATAAATGTTATAATGTATATATTATAGAGTTGTTTGGGGTGGGGATAAATGAAACGCGATTTGCGATGACGTCACAATCATGTTGCATTGTGGTCTATGGAGCGGCCTGAAGTGTGCATATGAAGCAGACTCGCTCCCTCTGTCAAAATCGAGGGGTCGAGGGTCTGTCCATATAAAACTTCCCTTGTCCACTTCACGAAGTGGAACGCACTTCAAAATGGCAGTGGGGATTCCCCCGAGGGGAAGTGCTTAGGGAAGTTCACGAGTGCGTATCTAAAAGTGGAATGGAACGCAGCCCAGGAGTCTTCAGCGTCCACTCCAGAATCCGCTCCAGTCCGGGAGCCCTCGGAGTCCACTTTAGAGCCCGCTGCCAGCCCGGAGGCCGTCCCGGCACCACCTAAGCTCCTTGCCCTGCCGGCTTCGCCCAAGCTCCTAGCCCTGCCATCCCCAATCAAGCTCTTTGCCCGACCAGCACCACCCAAACTCCTTGGCCTGCTGGCTTTGTTACATGGTATGAACTCCATTACCAATAGTTCTTTGCCCAGTCTTCTCTGTATTGATTATCATCAGCTGTAGGTCATTTACACATTAGCTCATCACTATTTATACCATGCTCACTTTTTCTTTTGTTGCTGCAGTATTGGACCTGTTACGTTGTGTTTCTGTTACCCTGTCCTTGGATTACTTTTTGCCTTTTTTTTATGTTTTTGCCTGTTGCTTTTTGGATTATTGTTTGATACCACTATTAAAACTGCACTTGGATCTATTTTGTTCTCCCAGAGTCATTCCGTGACACATTAAACTATGATTTTTGCCTCAAACTCCTAATTTGCTGCTTATTAATAGTTAGTATTAAGTAGGTAAATTTAGGTATTGGGTAGGATTAGGGATGTAGAATATGGTCATGTAGAACATGTGCTTTATAAGTACTAATAAACAGCCAATATGTTAATAATAGGCAAGTTAATAAGCAACTAGTTAATAGTGAGAACTGGTCCTATACTCAAGTGTTACTGTGAATTTTTAATAAACTTAAAAAAATCATTATTTTTATTATGATGATGATTATTATTATTATTATATACACTTCTGTAAGTGTGGGGTCAGTAAGATTCTTTTTTCTTTCAGCAAAAAGACAGCATTAAATGCATTACATTCTTCAAAAGTAAACAAAAAAAAAAACTTATCAAAATATGCATCACAGTTTCAAAAACATATTAGGTATTAAATTTAAAATTATTTGGCAAACAACCTGCCATTATAAGAATAAATTACATTTTAAAATAGAAAAGTTATTTTAAAATTGTAAAAATATTTTGCAGCATTACTGTTGTACTTAAATAATTGATTAAATAAATGCAAAATGGGTTAGCATAAAATACTACTTTCAAAAATATTTTAAAAATTGACCATAAGATTTTAAATAGTGTGTGTATATGTGTATGTATGTGTGTGTGTGTGTGTGTGTGTGTGTGTGTGTGTGTGTGTATATATATATATATATATATACACGCATACACACAGCGGGTAAAATAAGCATCGAACACATCATGTCACTTCTCAGTAAATATATTTCTAATTTCTAAAGGTGCTGTTGACATGACATTTTCACCAAATGTCGGTAACAAACCAAGTAATCCATACATACAAAGAAAACAAAAATATGTTCAGAAATTAAATTATGTGTAATAAAATGGAATGATCCAGGGAAAAAGTATTGAACACGCTTACTGAAATGTATTTAAAGGGGTCATATGATGCGATTTCAATTTTTCCTTTCTCTTTGGAGTGTTACAAGCTCTTGG